GCGGACATGCTCTTTATGTGAAACTGCAGTGAGACCTGCAAAGGAGTCTTGAAAAAATATTAAATAGCTGAGGTCATTTATTGGTGAGTGACCCCACCAACAGATCACGCAACACTGGGGGTGTAACATCCTTCGATAGACAAACCCCAGCTAATGTCGGGCACCCCTCTATTTCTTCCAGCATAGCGCATAGCGGTAACTTTATTCCACACATGAAGGGAACGGAATCCATTCCCCTTCCCTTCCCTTGATGCGAATATTTCACTACTTCATCTGAAGTACATCCAAAGGGAAGGGAAATCCATTCCCTTTCCCTTCCCTCGATGTGAAGATTCCACTTCTTCATCTGAAGTACATCCAAAGGGAAGGGAAATCCATTCCCTTTCCCTTCCCTCGATGTGAAGATTCCGCTACTTCATCTGAAGTATATCCGAAGGGAAGGGAAATCCATTCCCCTTCCCTTCCCTCAATGTGAAGATTCCACTACTTCGCCTGAAGTATATCCATAGGGAATGGAAGAGGAAGGGAATCCCATTCCCTTATGTGTAACCTACGTAAATCTATCTTGTAATTTAAACAATCCAATGTAAATATGGGGTACCCATGAAGGGAACGGAATCCGTTCTCCCTCCCATCATACAGGCTTATCACTGGTTTGGAAACGGGTCTGAATGAATGAACCTGAACGGAACGTCGGTAACCATATATAAGGGGGATACGCCATCCTACTCCCCCAGCAGAGCGATAATCATATCCCAGGGGGGTACGCCCTCCCACTCCACCCAGCAGAACGGTAACCACATCCCAGGGGGGCACACCCTCCCACTCCCCCCAGCAGAGCGGTAACTCTATCCCAGGGGGGCACACCCTCCTGTTCCCCCGAGCAGAACGGTAACCATATCCCAGGGGGGCACACCCTCCTCTTCCCCCCAGCAGAGCGGTAACTCTATCCCAGGGGGGCACACCCTCCTGTTCCCCCGAGCAGAGCGGTAACCATATCCCAGGGGGGCACACCCTCCTCTTCCCCCCAGCAGAGCGGTAACCATATCCCAGGGGGCACACCCTCCACTTCCCCCCAGCAGAGCGATAACCATAGCCAAAATGGATTTAACCAATTATTCCCCCCAGCAGAGCGACAACCGCACTTAATTATTTCCGTTAACTTCCCTTCCTGATAAGCTAACCAGCAAATCCTGGATAACTGACTTATCAGCTTCCCAAAAGAGTTGATATGCAAATCACTTTCTCCACTTTCACTTCCGTCACGGAAAATTCCTTTCACTTCCATCCCCGACAAACATTTCCAGCTTATAATATAGATATATAAACACGTGATGCATACTGCAACGAGGTAATTTTTTCTAAAAACTAAAACGATTAAAATGAGGCTGAACATGTATGTATCATGAGTTTGGGTGTAAGGCATGGGGTAGAAATTTATTAATGTTGTCATTCTAAAAATGTGCAGTCTAACATACACATGCAGAGATTACCATTGTTACTACAAAAAACACTCACATATTTACACATTTGGCACTTCGTCCATCAACGTAATTGAGAGCTTAGTTTATGACAAATGCCGATGATTAGGCTGTCATGGATTAAATATTAGCCGCGAGTAAGGTAAAAAGATAGTTGTACGCTTGAATCAGACTAATTTGAGCCACTGCAGCATCAACATCTTAATACCTTAAACCTACGAGACCAATTTTGCTGTGATTTGGGATTTACATTTATTACTATTTTTGTCCTCTTGGACAATAGTTGCTAATTTTAACTAGGACAATATATTTTAAAGTATTGTGATTCAACTGAACAATTAGAGATCCACATGGGCAATTGTAAAGCTTGGGTAAGTTAAGCGATTAATAGTATCTTATCATGTTATTTAATTTTATATTTCGTATTTACATACATATATTTATTCAACAAGTTGTTTAAAAAATTTAAGTCTACGATTAGAAAATTAGATATTGGGGTTTGAAGATTTTCTTTTGTCGAGAATAACATTTTTCGTTAGTTATTGACATATTTTAAACATAAATCTAATTAATAAGTTGCTAACGCAAATCACCCTTTTACATACAAATATTAAAATACAAAATGATTGCGACAAACTAGATAGTACAAAGATGACGAATAATATTTTAATAATAAAAATTTACACTAGTCCTTCAAAGTTTTATAAAATAGAACTACGACTACGAAGTAGATTTTTGAAATGTTATTTACATAATTAGATGAAGGTTAAACTTTATATTTTAAAATAGCGTGGGGAATTTCCGTTAATTTTAATTTATACATCGAACATAAGTGTATGTAAACCATGCAGATATTGTTCCTCGTTTCTATACTGGCTTGTGAGAATTGTTTCAAATTTTCCAACTTGAGCGTTAACGACTTATTTGAGTTGTGAAATTTTTAATTAAATTTATTTGTAAAATATACCAAAAAACAAGGTTTAGGCGAAATAAATTTGAAACATCAGTATTAAATTTAAAAGAGATTACTTAACTAGGCTTTAATATATACCAATAAGTGCGCCTATGAAGTTGTTGACATGTTAACGATTTATTAATTTCCGAGTTCTAGTTGTGATTTCAACTTCAAATTTGTACGTACTTATATTAATCTTCTCGCGTTTCCAACTTGTTAATCAGAGGTTTCCATTTAATGGAAAACTAGAAAAATATGAAAGTTCGTTTTTCCCAATTAAATTTTTAAGCATTGGAACAATGCTAAAATTTGTGGCATATCAAAAACGAACGTACGATGATTGTCCCCTACTTTCTAGATTCAAATAAATTCTGAACTTCTTAATTAATGAAATTTTGGCATGTATTAATGGCTCATAATAAGTTTTTTGCAACCGTGTGTTTTTTAATTTCAGACAATGAATGCAATCCATCTCATTCTGGCGGCAGTTTCCCTCGTTCCTGTGACCTGCCTTGAATATGGAGAACGTTGTATTCGCACTCCGGATTTATGCGATCCCACCAAATTTCTCTCCTGCCAAGAAATAAGCCCAGGTCAGCTAATTTGTCAATGTGATTCAACTGATGCGTCTGAATCACCCTCCCAACCTGGTCTTTGTCTTAAATATGGCGAAACCCTTGGCGATCCCTGCGTTCCTGGGACAACGCAATGTTCCCGGCTACCTAATGCAATTTGCAATGCAACAACAAACACCTGTTGTGAGGACTATTCAATGCAACTACCCGTTGTAAAGTCACCTCCTAAATGTGATTGGAGTCGAGGGATGAAATTAAATTGACGAGAGAACTGGATAACTGGAAACTTTGACTTTAACTATTTATTTAATTGAACACTCAAAAATTAACATGTTCACTCACCCAATACTAAAAAGCAAGTGCGTATTCAACCACGCAGCACACAAACCAAACAAACTGCCTCCAATCATTCATATTTTCATGACTACCATAGTCTGCCTAAAATTATAATCTTATGATTTCTAACACCTGTCTATGTGACGCTGACCTTGACTTTTTCCAGCATACTGCCACATGCCTTCAATATGTAAGTAATCTGTACGACCCTTGCATCCTAGGCAGTCAACAATGTGCCCGACTACCCGGCACTGTGTGTCACCCATCTAATAGCACCTGCACTTGCGACGCATCATCTCATTTCCAGCACCCTGACCAACCTAATTGTCTCCCATATCGGAACACACTTCACCAAGCATGTCTTCCTGAGACGCAGCAATGCAAAAATATACTAGGTTCAGATTGTCACAAGGAATTAAGCACCTGCGAATGCTTACCGCCAAGGGAATATTTTGAGCATGAGAGGGAATGGCGTTGTCTGAAGTACGCGGATGCGCTTTACCAGCCGTGCGAACCTTTCACGCAACAATGTGCTTATGTTTTTGTAGCATTTTGTTCAACCGTGAATTCAACTTGCATCTGCGATCCTGGAGATTACTTTCAAAATCCAGATTTTCCAAATTGTGCTCAATACTTAACAGAGCTGCATGAAAGTTGCCTTCCTAATACTAACCAATGTAAAAATATAATCGGCTCGGTGTGTCACAACACCCTGGCCACATGTGAGTGCGAAGAAACGGGGTACGTGGAGGACCCCACTATTTCGTTATGTGTCCCTTATCGAACCCAACTCCATGACGACTGTGTTCCAGATCGAAACCACTGCAAGAACATTCCGGGTGCTGACTGCCACCAGAACCTAACTACTTGTGAATGTCTACCGCTAGAAGAATATTTTGAACATGCGACACAGAGGCGTTGTATCAAGTATACGGAAGTCCTCTACGAGACGTGTGAACCTTCAACGAAACAATGCGACCTTATTATTAGGGCCATTTGTTCATCAGATAACTCAACGTGCATCTGCGATCCTAGTGATTACTTTCAAAACCCGAACTCCCTTAATTGCGTTAAATAATTAACAGAGTTTCATGAGACTTGTCTTCCATTTACTGAGCAATGCAAAAATATATATGGTTCAACATGTCACGAATCACTGGCACCGTGTGAGTGCGAAGAAGCAGGATACGTGGAACATCCAAATATTACGCTATGTGTCCCGTATCGCTCCCAGCTCCATGACGACTGTCTTCCTGACCTAAATCATTGTAAAAACATCCCGGGTGCTGACTGCCACGAGAATCTAACCACTTGCGAATGCTTACCGCTAAGCGAATATTTTGAGCACCCGACACAGAGGCGTTGTATAAAGTATTCAGAAGCACTTTACGAGACCTGTGAACCTTCAACGAAGAAGTGTGATCTTATTTTTGGGGCAATTTGTTCCTCGGATAACTCAACGGCATTTGCGATTCGACAGACTACTTCCAAAATCCAGGCTCCCTTAATTGCGTTCAATATTTAACAGAGCTGCATGAGAATTGTATTCCGTTTACTGACCAATGCAAAAATATATATGAATCAACATGTCATGAATCACTTGCAACGTGCGAGTGTGAAGAAACAGGATACGTGGAGCATCCCAATATTACGATGTGTGTCCTGTATCGTTCCCAACTCCACGACAACTGTCTCCCTGACTTAAATCATTGCAAAAATATCCTGGGTGCTGACTGCCACCAGAACCTAACCACTTGCGAATGTTTACCCGCAGCCGTATATTTTGAGCATGAGCATCAGCACCGTTGCATCAAGTATGCGGACACGCTCTACGAGTCGTGTGAACCCTTCACGGAACAATGTTCCTTTATTTTTGGCGCTTTTTGTTCCCCTATGAACTCAACGTGCATATGTGATGCAAGCGACTACTTCCAAAATCCAGACTACCCAAATTGTGCGCAATATTTAACAGAGCTGCATGAAAGTTGCCTACCAAACACAAACCAATGCAAGAATATCTTTGGGTCAGTATGCGACGAAGTCTTAGCCACATGCGAATGCGAAAAAACTGAGTATGTGGAGCATCCAAATATTACGATCTGTGTCCCATACCGCTACCAACTACATGACAATTGTCTGCCCGACCTGAACCATTGCAAAAACATCCCTGGTTCCGACTGTCATCAGGAACTAAAGACATGCGAGTGTTTGCCTCCAAGGGTATATTTTGAACATGAGACGGAAAACCGTTGCCTGAAGTATGCGGACCGGCTGTATGAGCTATGTGAGCCATTCACAGAACAATGCGCCTACGTCTTTGGGGCTTTTTGTTCACCTGCGAACTCATCGTGCATTTGTGATCCAGGCGATTATTTTCAAAATCCAGATTATCCAAATTGTGCTCATTATTTGTCAGAGCTACATGAGAGCTGCCTCCCATTTACCGATCAATGCAAGAATATATTCGGCTCGGTTTGCGACGAAGTATTGGCAACATGCGAATGCGAAGAAACTGTGTACGTGGAGCATCCAAATATTACCATTTGTGTTCCATACCGTTACCAGCTCCATGACAATTGTCTTCCAGACCTGAACCATTGCAAAAATATCCCCGGTTCCGACTGTCACCCAGACCTAAATACATGTGAATGTCTCCCAGAAGATACGTACTTTGAGCAAGTCTCCAGTCGGACATGTTTGCGTTTTACTGAGACCTTATACGACCCATGTGTCCCGGGAACTATCCAATGTGATAAGATTCCGGGTAGCATTTGCACAGATAGTAATTCCACCTGTATCTGCGACCCACAAATCTTCTTTCAGAACCCGACAGGACTAGAGTGCGTCCCTTATAGAGCTAATTTGCACGACACATGTATTCCTAACACGGAACAATGTGTTAAACTTTTTGGAGCTACTTGTTCCCTTCTATCAGAAACTTGCGAATGCAGCCCAATGGATTATGTAGAACATCCAGATCAACCGGTGTGTCTGCTATTTTCTGACGTCCTCTACGCTCCTTGTCAACCAGGGAGTGAACAATGCTCTAAAATAACAGGATCCATCTGCAACGTCGCAAACTCGACCTGCATCTGCGACTCAGAAACCTTCTTCCAGAATCCAGACTCCTTAGACTGCGTCCCATACACGGCTAATTTGTTTGACCCATGCATTCCCAACACGCACCAATGCAGTAAAATTTTAGGCTCAGTTTGTTCCATTTTGTCTAAAACCTGCGAATGTAATCCAGAGGATTATGTGTTACACCCAGATCAACCGGTCTGTCTCCCGTATGTCGAGTCGCTCTACGCCCCATGTCAGCCAGATAGTGAACAGTGCGGGAAAATAAGAGGATCGACCTGCCTTGCTGAAAACTTAACCTGCACCTGCAACTCGGAACATTTTCAAGATCCAGAAGCCTTGCGGTGTGTTCCCTTCCTGGAAAACCTGCACGATCCCTGCATCCCGAATACCGAGCAATGTAGAAACATTTATGGCGCAGAATGCAACAGCACGACATCTAGTTGTGAATGCACAATAGATTTTTTCCTTTGGGATTTTGAATGTTTCTTAAAACCGACAGCGCTATACGAGAACGACACATGTTTTTCCACGGAACACTGCCACCTAGTGGAAGGAAGCGAATGTGAGGAGCTACAATGTACATGTGGCGAAGGATGGCTTCCTGCCGAGGATTTGTCAAAATGTTTAAAAGTCCCGGAGGACGTTTCTGACTCACCGTGCGAGTCCCAGATTCAATGTGACCACCTCAATAACACAGAATGCGACGGAGTTAAGTGTAGCTGCATCGAGGACTACACCGAGAACCTGGCCAGTGATGGCTGCTTGCAGATTGTTTACAGGTTAAACGAGGATTGCGAAGAAGATAGCCAGTGTCTTGCAGGGATTGGGAACGGATCCAGCTGTACCGAATCGAAATCTTCCTGCCTCCCGGAGCTGGTTGAAGGTGATGACGGAACGAAATGTTTGCCGGTAAAATATATATACCAACTTATTAAGCTCGGAAGTCTGATAAGTTTAAAATTATACGTCAAATTCTGTTTCATAGCCGACCAATATCGATGGAGAATGTGATTCAAATTCCCAATGCATTTCACTTATGGGACCGGAAGCAAGATGCACAAATAATGTATGTCGGTGTCGAGATGGGACATCGTTTCTGGGGAGTAGATGTTACACACCCATCCCATTGACTGGAAGGTGCAATTTCTCCCAGGAATGCGTCCTAAGAAATGAATTCACTTACTGTCAACCAGGTCTGGAACTCTACACTTGTATTGAAGCGGCTTTTCAATTCGAACAAAGTTGTCACGAAAAGATATTTATTGGGGGAAGGTGTCTTGCTGATATACAGTGCCAACTTTCCATCGAGGGGTTATCGCATTGTGACGTAAAAACGAGCACATGTCAATGCACAATTAGCAAACATAAATTCCTAGACATCTGTAGCGGAGGGGTTACCTATTTTTCAAATATGCTTTTATTCCTGGGTCTTGTATTGACTTCATGCCTGGACATTTTGCAATATTGAGTTTATATTTTAATACGTAAACATATGCAGTACAATTAACTAATTTAAACATATTTGAAATACGTATTCTGTAATATTTACCAGGACTAATTAAATTTTGATATGGATTAAAATAAGCGGAGACATATTTGCTAGGTCTTATTTGTCAATTAATTTAGTGGGATTAAATTTCAATTAATGTTACTTAATTAGATTATTTAGCCGATTAAGTGATTATGGTGAGATTTTTAAAAGTAGAGTACTGCCCGCAGTAAGCTTTGAATGTAGAAAAGTACATCCATCAACTTTGAATTTATGTATTTACAAATAGGTAATATTATCGTAAAATAATATTGTTACATTACAATTTAATAATACTTTCAGCATTGTTACTAATGCAGAATTAGCAAAATTCAGGTTACATATTCAGGTAAATTTTTATATAGTATGTAGGTTGTAAGAGTACATTTGATTGCGTCACGAGAAATTATATATGTACATATGTAAGTATGTCCATAATAAACGTTTGTATGTAACAGATTATAATAACTCTATTCCAGTTCACTTTCGTCCATTTCTTTTCATATCGATTTAGCCATTTGTAACCTACATACAATGTAGTTCACACATACAATCTGCATACAACGATGACTTCGAGGTGGCTACGACAACGATATATATTTGGAATACAAGATTAAACATTTGATTAAAAGTAATCTAATCGAATTTTTAATCAAGCTACGTACTCATATGGTCAAAAAGTATGGATTGAGTAGATACATACTCATGAACATGCGAGAATAATTAGTTCTTCATACATTATCAGCTCGCCCTGCGTAGCAGAGGAGCTATTGAATTCCTCTTGTCCGTCCGTCTGTCTGTCTGTCTGTCCGTCTGTCTGTCTGTTAACGACTCTTTTGCATCAATTGATGCTAATTACTGCGACTTATTCACGTTCGTGACAGACTTAATAGCACCACTGGTATCGAACAAGCGGCGACTCAAAATGGTGCCAAACAATTGATGGAATAGGTGAAAAACGCACAAAAAGTGCAGAAGAACCGAAAGAAATGACTATAATTTTTACTATGAATTTGCCAATATTTCATGTCAAAATTACTGTTTGTTTTCCTTCATTTATTTTCCACCATCGGCGCAAAATTATGTCACAATTATGTATATATTTTTTCCGCTTGTTCTGCACCATTAATGCAAACTTATACCAAAATTGCATATCAATTTTATTCGTCTATTCTGCACCATTGGTGGACAATTATGTCAAAATAATTCTCACAGGGTGAGCTACTTCCACCGTTACAACGGTTACAAGCGGCGACTCAAAATGGTGCCAAACAATTGATGGAATAGGTGAAAAACGCACAAAAAGTGCAGAAGAACCGAAAGAAACACCTATGACTTTTGACGTCAAGTTTTTTTATGTTTTTATGTTACTCACCAAAAGTGCAGAGTATCTGGATACAATTTGTCTCCCTTTTTTACCAAGAAAAAGTCGAAATTATGTCAATTTTATGGATCTATATTCCCCGCTTATTTTTCACTATTGATGCAAAATTATATCAAAAACATGCATTTATTTTCAAATCATTGCAAAGCTATACACAACACCAACTGGGTTTCGGCTCTCTTTAAGCCCAAGACAGGTCGCTACTCCCGTTCATCAGGTAACCAGCAGGTTACGACCCAGTGCGATTTCTATTTATGAACCCATGACATCTTACATCGCATCTGGGCCCTGGTAATGTATACTTCAACATTACCAGAGCAATTTGATGAACCCAGGGTATGATGGAGATGCATATGAACCAGAGGTATGATAGGGCATAGGAACCAAGGGTATGATAGGGATGCATATGAGCCAGCCGCCATTAGATGCCACTACCTGTCCCAGTCAGTATCTCATTTGGGAAATAATTTCCTTGTACTTAACTCCGACCAGGAGTGCACTCAAATGAGACACTATTAATGACTTGGGACACCCTAATCTCGATGACTTCATTGCAAAAATGCAATAAAATACACCTACCTTTTTTAGACGAACTTGGGTAACTTTGAACCTTGACGTATCGTTTGAATCTGAAAAAATCAATTAGTGAACCAATCAAATAACTTGGATATTCCGATTGAACCAATGAAAGAAAGATGAAGATCTGAAAATTGAATAAACTTAGATTAAATACATATATGACACTAAAATTAAATAAGGGCTGGTAGTGGCATACTATGGCCGCAGTACGATAATACGTTAAAATTATTGAGGGGATGATGAGGTGATGCAAATAATTTTATTGTCATTTTTAATTACCAGAACAATTTTCAACGATTATGATAAAGATGCATATGAATTTGTACTGTTTTATGAGCTAGTTCTGGTAATGTGTGTTTCAACATTACCAGAACAATTTGCAATGATTATGATAAAGATACATATGAATTTGTATTATTTTATGAGCTAGTTCTGGTAATGTGTGTTTCAACATTACCAGAACAATTTTCAATGATTATGATAAACATGCATATGAACAGCGTGTTTCAGTGCTAGCAGATAGTTAGTTTTGGAGGTGGAATTATATCGATTTGTATAGGAAAATGTATCCATCGCCAACGCAGTGCTTAGAAATGTAGACTTCGTCATCATCATAGATTATCCAATCATTCCCACGCCTAAAATTCACAACATAATGGCCTGAATTTAAGGAATCCCCCAAATGACTAACTATAAGCGTCAAGGCGTAAGCATTATCTGAGCCGGGCAACATAAGAATATCCGATGCAAATGACTTTTCTAGAATTTTTGTGCCTCGATTTGTGAAAATTTTTAGATTAACGAACAAAGCCCGTGGTGCCAATACTAATTTGGAATTGAAATTTGCTAATCCTGCCGATTTGCATGTCTCACAGAGATATTCTTGTTCCCCGATGAAATGATTTATGATGCAATCCTGTAAATTCGTTGCTGTCCTTCCGATCGACAGAGAAGTACATGATTCGTTTCTCGTGCTTTTAATCCCACAAGAACACGTAACTTCGGTTACTAGCGTCGCAACATATTCTTCCAGAGACATCCCTGAGTTGCTTAAGTTCTGTAGTAGGTCAAGAAGAAATAGATGAGGGTCATCCTGCATTCCAATTGGATATGAAGGCATGCATGCAACTAACTCTTGCCTAGTAGTTCTTAGTTGACAAAGTGGAACTGGGGTGAGTAACGCGTGAAAGAAACCTCTTAGACAAAGAGATAGACGGTCTCGACTAACTTTCAGGAAGTCTTGGATGGATACAGACTCATATATTAAGTGAAGAATTGCGTTAATATAGCACGTGTTTCCTAAATTTGGAATACCGAGATGAATTGAAAGTGATTGCTCGCAAAGTACATTGTCTGCAGATAAATCTTCGTTATCTATTTGTACGTCCATTTCCGACTGTTCAGTATTGTGCCCTATACCACTTTCGCTCAAACTTACTTCCATTGGTTCTGCTTCTTGTGGACAACTTTCTGATTCCACATGTGATGGCAATATATGTATGTCATCTGGCCATGTCACACAAATTGGCTTATGGTAGCTGAAATAACTTTCATAGAAAAAAGCGGACACACCAAATACATTTGAAAAACATGCATCGATACATGTATTTCCGTCGGTACTATTTTCGGAGGGAGTTATTAATCTGAAGCCCATTTTGGTGAAAATTTGCCTCATTTGGAATCCATCTTTGGTCATGAAATTTAGATTAAAGTCACCAAAGACGATCATCGGGGTGCCTTTTTTGCCACTCAAAAGATCTGAGACGTCCTTTAAAAAAGCTGTCGCACTATACTGGGGACTACGGTATAACATACAAATCCTAACATTTTTCTGTGCCCATTGAACTAGTTGTAAATGTTTACTAAAACTCAAATTTATTTGTGAGAATTTACAATCTGATATGCTTGAACAGTGTGAGTTACTTTTAAACACCAGTGTTCCAATAGATGACTGGATAGTTGGCGAGTCAATTCGATGAAAAACCGAAAATCCAGGAAGCTCAACTACATCTGAAATCAAAGTCCGGGTTTCACAAAAACAGAGCACATCGGATACCGTGTAGTTTCTGTCAGCAAGAATGTCTTCGTAGTGTGCTCGGAAAGATTGAATATTGTGGAATACAATTCTATTGGGCTCGTCTTGGTCCGGTAAATATCTCAATGAATATGGGAATGGTAATTTACGCAATCTGGAGAGGTCTAAAGGCACAAGATGTCTTAAAGGGTCGATTGGACGTGGTGCATTAAAAGTCCCGCCAATATATAGTCCTGACAAAGTAGGTGCACGACTCATGGCTACGTACATTGCATCCCGTCTTAGTCCTCGGGATGGAATATTAGCAACGGTATTCGGAATTGACAGGCTTTGCGATTTATGAATAGAAATGGCATTAGCAGCCACCAACGGAATTTGACGTCGAACAATTTGCATTCCTTGATAATGCCCAAAACTATTCAAGGGTTTGGTTTCTGAGAAGATTGGGGTCCAATGCAACGGAATTCCTAATTTTTTTAGCAATGCTAGATTGTTCGACCTTGCAAGTTGTCCTACCAATTCCTCCGAGAATTCCATAAATACAAGTTTAACAGCTTTCCCCCCATTTGTTAATGGCTTTTCCACTACCCCCCTTAGTTTACCTGTAGCACCATTAAACAACCCATCACTTACGTCGATGTTTGTTGTAATCATATAACGAAGGCCGACTCTTAAAGCAACATGATATGGCATACCCCCGGTTTGTTACAGAGTTAAATGTTCGGCTGACTCTAACATTGCTTGTTGAGACTTTAGTATGTTTCCACCCTGAACTCTATCTATGGCAAATGAATTGTAAAGTGGGCCCACTGCTCTACTTATTGCTTCACGATTGAATTTATCACAATCAGCGTTGCTATAAAATAACCATGTCGCATCGCCTGGAACGACTAAGTTTTTTCCGATTTCTCTGCTTTTGAACATCTTAATGTCTTCTTCCTCAAGCATCCCTATGGACAGTCTGTTTAATGCAGTTGCAAATTTAGCGTCATCTTTTTGTCTCATGATCTCGTTGAGCTCAAATAACCGAAATATATCCCAGAGTGGATTCCCAATGATTGATCCTAAGATTTCCTTCGAATCCTCGAAAACAAATTGCCCAAAAACTGGACTAAGCTGGTAGAAATCGCCAACGACCAACACACTAACCCCTCCGAACAGTTCGTCTATGCCTAAAATTTGCCTAAGCCTTTGATCAATTTGAGCGTTTTTAAGGCTAACTAAGGAAATCTCGTCAATGATCAGAACCTTCAAAGCGGCAAACTTACACCTCAATGTATTGCATGTTCCATGATCAAGTGGAGACATTTTTCCTGCGTATTGATTTG